GTCCCCATGTAGCGTGAGTCAGCCTGGGGCCAGTCCCGCCGGTGTGCGAGGCGACCGGGAGGGCAAGCGGCGCCGGCGATTAAGCGGGGTGGGGAGCTATAACGCGATTCTGCCATGGTCGGTAGCCGTGGCTTGTGTTAGGCGCCTCACACAGATGTTCTTTTGTAGTTGCTGTTCTGATAACTACCTTTAGTTCTGTGGTTTAGACGCGGAGCTAGGCCTAGAAGAATACGTGGTTGATGCGCGACATACAGTGCTTGCAAAACTTTAGTTTTTTCTGGAATTCTATGTAAAGTGTTAAGGAAACGTGGGAGGATACCTTACAATAATAAACTAGCCAGATTTCTTGGAAGTTTGGCAGAGAAAGCTAAAAGCGATAGAACAGATAGCTAATTTAAAGGAAAAAAAAGAAGTAGTTTTGGTGACTTGATTTTGTCTTTAACTTCTTTTACTCTGTTACTCTGTTTCATTGGAAAACTGGTTTTGTGCTCGTTGCAGAAACTGCTCACTAGCAACATTTTGGATCAAGAGCATATCTGTGAGTTCTAATCTATGCAGACCCTTTAAAGCCCTCTTGCACATGAGTGTTCTCTGTATCTAAATTACACTTTGAAATTTCTTGTTAAGGTAACTTGTTTTCTACACAAAAGACATTGTCATTCAGATGCTATTGAGCATCGTTGCATCATTCATTTCTAACCTTTTTTTTTTTTCCTGGTACTACATGTTAACCATATCAGGGCAGTACGAAGTTTTATGGCAGAACGTTTATGGTGAATATGTGTAAGAAATGTTCTTACAAGTCATAAATTCTTTTAAATCTAACGCTTGCTTCTCAGAGATTATAATGGGTTTGTGTTAATTAGTGTCATGTTTCAGTTTGGTAATCTGCCATCTTCCTAAGTTTGAATGTGATTAAAGACTTTGGGATGTGACTTTTCAGAAAAAAAAAGAATTGTAAAATAGTTTCATTTCTTAAACATTAATTTTTTTTTTTCCCTGTGGTTCTGTGGCACACTCACAACAATCTTTAAAATGTCTGCTGGTGTTTTTTTTTCTCTTCCTGCTTCATGTAGTAAAAAACAGAATGGTGTGTACTCTGGATGAACTGTAACTTCAGCCCTAGCCTTTAAAGTGGTTGCACCTAAAGCTCGCTGTTTATCTACAGGTATTTAAACTGTTTTCGGGAGGATGTCTGTGAAGAGGCTTAACAGCATAATGTTAGGGGTCTTAGGGATGCCATTGGATTGCATGAGATACGTAGCTAGAGATACATTTCAGAAGCCTTGAACTTTTCTAGTAGTATTGAATAAAATTGTCAAGAGATGTTGAAAAATGTTTAATTTGCTTTAAGAGTTTTGCTGCAGAAGCGTCTGAATTTTTACTTCAGTTGCTCATGTACTTTAAACTTCACAAATACTAGCGACCTGAATGGCCACCTGGCTGATGTCACTCATAATAGTTGGGTCTGTGTGAAATAGAGCCTTAAAACCAGAATGTTGGATGGTGATGAACTGTGATAGAGCCTAATTATTATCACCAGAAGGAAAAAATGTTTTGAAATGGGTCAAACACGCAGATTATGTTGTAGCAGGTGAGGAACAGAAGGCAAAAGTTTTTTGGAAGAAAAAATTATGTTCCTAAATACGTTGCCCCATAAAGTGTTACAGTAATATGCGTAATACCAGTTTTACCAAGTATGTTGCTTTGCTTTCATATATAATCAGAATCCAGTGAAGGAAAAAGTATTTGCTTCACTAGTTTATATTAAATGTGGTGTTGCCTAAAGGTGAAGTTAAAAAAATAATATCTTTCATACTTAAAGAGCATCACTCCTGTTTAACAGGGACACGATCTTCCTCTAGCTAGGTTGTGTTGCACTTTGACCTTTGTAAAATGAGTATAAAATTTTAAATTATGTATTAGTGACACAGATGCTTGTTGAAGTTTCGTGACGGTGTTTTTCCATGTGAAAATGCGAACATCTCCCAGTGGTTTTCAGAGCAAAGCTAGAGTACGTTTCAGTGGCAATATATAGGTATGCTAAATTTTTGGTATAAATGCTTGAACTCACCTCCAGAAGATAAAGGAAAAAACTAGACCAGGATATTCTGCCTAAATGGAATGTTTGGAATTCTTACATGAGGATATAAGTATTGGGGTTTTTATAACTTTGTCTGTGCAGGAGTCCTTACTAACTGTTCAAATTATCTTGGAAAGAGCAAAGTGAACCTTGAGTCAAGATGGCCTACTTGTTCAGGTTTTTCAGAGCGCTGAGTGCTACAGTTCAGTGACTTACTCTTCATAATGGAAAACTAGTCATAGAAGCAATGCCAATATAAGCTAAAAGTAAACAGGATTTTAAATATCAATGGAAAAAATGATATGATGAACTCTTTAAGATGCTGGGAAGGGTAAATGGATGGTTGGGACCTTTTTTTAAAAAGTGCATGTCTCTGTGTGTCCTATTCCACGCTTACTATAGAGGCATGTTCTATAAAGACAGAATTCCCTTCAAAAAACCTATACTCCAAAATGATGCATTTAAACTTGCCTCCTTTTAACTTGATCTGAATTTCTTGACCTGTCCTTTATAACAGATGTTCTCACAATATTGTGGAAGAACTGCAGACTTCAGAACTGAGGTTTCCTTGAGTGCTCTTTCCTGCCCTGTAACATTCACTTGGAGAATGTGCTGTTTTGCTTATCAGGCAAAATACAAAACAAAATAAAACCAGAAATGTGACTCTGAACTGGTCTTAGATGAATGGTTTTAAGGAAGAATATTGCTCTTGCGAGACTGTTTCTTGAACTCAGAACTTGCTTGGGTTCAGTGCTGCAACATGCACTTGACAGTTTTAGTAATACCATGATGTGATACTAACTCTAAATGAAATTACTTGGCCTCACAGCTGATGTCTGTCTGTCTGCTGCAGTGTCCTCAACACTGTGCAAACGTAGCATTTTAGAGAAGACATTTAAGCAACTTTTGAACCTTGCCCTTCACTCTGCAGTGTTGTTTTGCTGTGCTACTATGGGGGATTTGGTTACACCTCAGCGTGCAATGAATTCTTGCGCTGTCACGCAGCATTATGATGTAGAGCTTTCAGAAAGAATGTGGAGTTCCCTGGTTGAGCTGAGGGTAAGTCATGGACGTGTTCAGAAACCATGATGTGACAGTGGAGCTCATGCCCTGCCTGTCTGGGAGGCAGCTGCTTTGACTCTGTCACCAGTCGGTTTGGGACCTCTTGGGGCTGTGCTGTCAGCTCAGTTCATGTCCCTTGCCTGGGTGCTTCAGGCAGGCTCGGTTTGGTTCATTACCACGTTGTCTCCAGCATTGCTTTCGCTTTTCTAGTCACACGCTGAAACAGCAAGTGGTGCCACTAAGTCATTAAGGCAATGGGTGATCTGTATGAACAGATTAATGATTGAAAGTGTGTTAGATTTTATTGACTCATCCTTTCAAAGCAATATAGGTGCTCTTTTGGAGCACAGTACTGTATAATATGCCAGTGAAAGTACCATGAACCGTTTGGCCTACTGAACTGGCTAACCCAAGAAATCATGATACACCAGTGGTAGATGAGATCATTGATACCTATTTTGGTGGAAGCTGACAACCCAGAAATAGTAGTCCAGTTTGGTAATCAGCATGTTTCGAGGCAGTGCTTTTAGTGCCAGCTGCATAGATTATTTGTTTGTTGCAAAGTGTGCAAGAGGTGTTGAAAAAATCACATAATGAGAAAGCATATTTTTAAGTGCTAGGGAGAAGAATGTGTTCTTGGGAGTTACCCTGTTTTCTGGTAGAGACAGTCAGGCATGTTAGTAGTCGTTTTCATCTCTTACTGTGCAAATTCTTCCCCGAGTAGCATATGTCCTGGTTTCAGCTGGGATAGTTGATTTTCTTCCTAGTAGTGTTATGTTTTGGATTTAGTATGAGAATAACCTTGATAACACACTGGTGTTTTCAGTTGTTGCTAAGTAGCATTTATACCAAGTCAAGGATTTTTCAGCTTCTCCTACCCAGCCAGCAAGAAGCATGGAGTGGCAAAAGAAGTTGGGAGGGGACACAGCCAGGACAGCTGGCCCATGGTGGCCAAAGGAATACTCTATACCATATGATGACATGCCCAGTATATAAACTGCAGGGAGTTGGCTGGCAGGAGCTGATCACTGCTCAGGGATTGTTGCTTGGGCATCAGTCAGAAGAGTGGTGAGCAATTATATTGTGTGTCACTTGTCTTTTCTTGGGGTTTATTCCTTTCTTGTACTCTTTTTCATTACTATTATTACTGTTAGTATTATATTTTAGTTTCCTTTAGTTATTAAACTTAGGAGTTCTACTTTTTTTCCAATGCTCACTCCTTCTTGCTCCCAGTGGGATGGGGAGGAGAAAGTGACTGTGTGGTGCTTAGTTGCTAGCTGGGATTAAACCAAGACCACATAATAGGTGGTTAGCAAGGCATCTAAGCCTAATAAAGGCTTTTCTTTGTAGTTTCACATATAGACTTGCCCTCTGATGACTTCTGTTTTGATGAGCTTCTGTATCTGGGTGAAAATACTCGTTTAGGTAGTGCTCAGAGATGCTTTTGCAATGCCATCAGACTCAAAATGGTGGATTAAAGCAGGCCATAAAATAAAGTAGGAACTTTTTTTAGTAACTTGTTTCTAGCATATATATGACACAAATTATTAAAACTAGCGGATTTTCAGAATTATAGATTAATCTAAAGGTGGGGGTTTTAAATTGTACTTTAAATGTAAAGCAGTATAAACTTCAGAACATAACTTGAACTGCTTGTTCTTTCTTGCAGGAAGAAGGTTGTGGACACTAACGCAATTGTTGATTTAAGAGTTCTCAGTCAGTGTGAGGCAGCAGTGAAAGTAGCAGTTGTTTAACTTGTCTGCCTCCATTCATTCCTTGACGTACTTCTTTCCCTTGACTCTTTCAAGCATACTGTTTTCTTGTAGAGTGGAGAACAAAATTTAGATTGTTATGTCTCTTCTGCTCTTGACTTTAATATAACATCCAAATCTTCCTTTTCTTTTGCAAGCTTTCTGAGTTAATTGAATCCTTATTTTTAATCACAGACTGTCAGACTGACAAAAGCCCAGTAGCCACTTCCTGGCCATCACTGGCAGTAAAACCAGTTTTGTGCTATAAGGGAGTAGGAATCAATAATGTTACCTCCAGCTTTGTTGAGCATTTCTGTTGGAGTTCTGCTTGGACAGGTGTGAAAAGTAGCCTTGTTGAGCATGATGTCAGGGCTGACTTTGCAGATGTGGAGTCATGTGGTGAGGCAGAGTGAGACTGCTTTGCAGGTCGTGGTCATTGCCAAGTCTCTGCTAGGGGCTGTTGGTGCCCACGGGGAAGAGGTTCCTGCTGGGAGATGCCAGTTTAATCTGAAAGCTGTTAAACTAAGCTGGTATCTGTTAATTTCAAATCAAACAAAAATTTCCAGGGCCTTCAGGAATAGCGCTCCAGCTTTAGTCCTTCCCTATTTAAAAAAAAAGAAAGTTAACTTTTTAGTCTATATTGTCTGACTTCACCTGTAATAGAACTTCATCACCAAAATGAACTCAATTAATTGAGGTGAAGGAAAAATAAATGTATTAAAATAAATGTAAAAAAATAAATGTATTAATGTATTTATTTAAGTACATTAAATAAATGTATTAAAATGGCAACTTACTCTGCTGTATGTAAACACTCTTCCACAAATTCTGACGCAGTGACCAAGCTAGTGGGATACTTCAAGTACCAAATACAAATATGTGCTAAGTGTCCTATACAAATAAAGCCTTTACTTCACCAAGCTATTGTCACTTTTCAGTTGATCCATTTAAATGTGTACTGATTGACTTCTAAGGTGAATTCATTCTTACATCAGTCTGATATTAGGTTGCTGGAGCTCTCTTCACTGTGCACTTAGCAAGTGGAGTGAAAACAATCATATCTATATACGTATACACACAAGGATAGGCTCTTCAGAAGGCAGATGTTAATGCTTCTCTTCTAATGGTCAATGAATTGTCACAAAATCCTGAAAGAGGATTTATTCCTCTTTTTGCATCATATGCCTGTTATGCCTGTTCAGATTGACCTCTGCAGGCTTGCATCATTTGTGAACAAAGGCATTGGTTGCTGTCCCCATAGGTACAGTCTCTTGCTGGGAGAGGTGCTGCCCCTTGTAATCTTCTGCAGAACTACCACAACCCTCAGTTTGGCACAGGCGTAGCAAATTCCTACCTTTTCATGGAGCCGCTGTTCCTTCTGTATCCGGACTGCTTTGCAGGTCGTGGTCATTGCCAAGTCTCTGCTAGGGGCTGTTGGTGCCCACAGGGAAGAGGTTCCTGCTGGGAGATGCCAGTTCAATCTGAAAGCTGTTAAACTAAGCTGGTATCTGTTAATTTCAAATCAAACAAAAATTTCCAGGGCCTTCAGGAATAGCGCTCCAGCTTTAGTCCTTCCCTATTTAAAAAAAAAGAAAGTTAACTTTTTAGTCTATATTGTCTGACTTCACCTGTAATAGAACTTCATCACCAAAATGAACTCAATTAATTGAGGTGAAGGAAAAATAAATGTATTAAAATAAATGTAAAAAAATAAATGTATTAATGTATTTATTTAAGTACATTAAATAAATGTATTAAAATGGCAACTTACTCTGCTGTATGTAAACACTCTTCCACAAATTCTGACGCAGTGACCAAGCTAGTGGGATACTTCAAGTACCAAATACAAATATGTGCTAAGTGTCCTATACAAATAAAGCCTTTACTTCACCAAGCTATTGTCACTTTTCAGTTGATCCATTTAAATGTGTACTGATTGACTTCTAAGGTGAATTCATTCTTACATCAGTCTGATATTAGGTTGCTGGAGCTCTCTTCACTGTGCACTTAGCAAGTGGAGTGAAAACAATCATATCTATATACGTATACACACAAGGATAGGCTCTTCAGAAGGCAGATGTTAATGCTTCTCTTCTAATGGTCAATGAATTGTCACAAAATCCTGAAAGAGGATTTATTCCTCTTTTTGCATCATATGCCTGTTATGCCTGTTCAGATTGACCTCTGCAGGCTTGCATCATTTGTGAACAAAGGCATTGGTTGCTGTCCCCATAGGTACAGTCTCTTGCTGGGAGAGGTGCTGCCCCTTGTAATCTTCTGCAGAACTACCACAACCCTCAGTTTGGCACAGGCGTAGCAAATTCCTACCTTTTCATGGAGCCGCTGTTCCTTCTGTATCCCTGAAATCTTAATCCAGTGGTTTGTGATCTGGACCAGGAACAATACTCTGTATGACTCTGGCAGGTAGAAACAACTGCTTTGGGCTTCAAGAACTGCAACTGGCATGATCTCCCCCTTGTTTGTCTGGGCCTCAGCACTGTTTGAGCTCCTCCTCCGTCAGAAAGTCCCTGTGCAGGCCTTTCTTGACAGGTGGATGTGTAAGGGTTAGATTTTCCTCTTCAGAAGAGCTCCAGGGTTGGTTTCAGGATGACTTTTGTAAAAGCTTCTGGTTTTGTCATTAGTAGTCCATTCTCCTACTGTTTGAAACTCTTCTGGAGTCCAGGGGAAGCTTGCTGTTTGGTTCCTTAGGGGGACCTAGGGAATTGGTTTCAGTTAAATGATTTCTCAGTGTTTTGAAGAAGCATTCTGTCATTTGGAAATAGAAGTAAATTTTTCATGGCACTGTTGGAATTCTGTCTTCTGGTAGGTGTGTTTTGGTCTAAGGGAGGTTCCTGCCTGTAGGGGTAATACACTGAAAAATGGAGCATAAATTGCGAAATACTTCTGTTTTGTGTGTGATCACTGGGCAAAACCACCCTGGCAGCGCTTGACTAGATACGCAGTGTGTTTGGTTTTCAGACCATCATTCTGATTTGGTCTACAAAGGTAAGGGCTTTTAATATTTAAAACTGTAGGCAGATTACAGGGAATGGCTGCTGATAGTGCTTTCAGATACTTAGTTGTATCCAGCTTATGTAAGTACAATATAAAAAACATTCTCATGGAGAGATCTTTGCATTTTAAGCTTACTCAGTCAAAGTGTCTTGGGTAGTTGCTTTTTTGTGTTTGGGCCTCATGTACAAAAAGGTCAGAAGACTTTCCTCCTCTTCAGAAGACTAACATGATGTGTGCCAAGGCAAAGCATGGATAGCTTCAGGCACACACTGTTTTGGAAAGGCTTTTCAAAGCTGTCTTCATAAGTGATTTTGTTCGAGTGCCTGCTCTGCAAAAAGTGCATCAAAAGAATTCCCATCTCTGGTTAATACAAACTAGATGATTAGCTCAAGAGGGGAGATACCACTTGAGCCAATTCTGCCCTACTTGTGAAAGCAAGCTCAGAAAACCCCCCACACTTTCTCTGATCCAAATTTTAGCACTGCCAGTTTTGTTTCCATTTAAATGTAAAGCACTGAGCAGCTGAGAAGTGTGGTTGTTGATGGATTAAACTCCAAGAAATAGAGAGGGATGGCAAGCTGTCTTCTGTGTTCTGTCAGTCTCCAGCACAAGCAGCATAGGTGAATCGTTTGTAGTTAACAGCTATGAAAGCAACAATGCATTTTTTTTTTTCATGATTTAGCTAGGTGCTGGTCTTGTTGCAGGGCAAGCTAGTCAGGCTTTAGAATCTGGTTTATGCAGATGAGGCTTTGCTGTGTTTTTTCTCTCAAGATCTGTTGGGTTTATAGCCTAATTGAAGCAAAAACAACTTAAGCTAGATCGGGAAAGAACCGTATGCATTAGCAGACTCTCCTTTAGTGACTTTGAGACCATTTTGCTGTTGGCATTCACGCTATTTTAAAAAAAGAAAAATATTTTGCTGCTTGTGTTTGATTGTCAAACCTGAATATTTCTTGAAATGTACTGTTAAGTGTGTAGAGATGGTAAAAGCGCAATGTTACATAAATTTTGCTTTTAGATCCGTAAAGGGATTCTCTGAAGTGCTGTTTTTTCTGTATTTATGTTGTTTTCAGAATACACAGATGATACTGCCCTGATTCCTAAGAATTCATCGGTGATTGTTAGGAGAATCCCTATTGGAGGAGTTAAAGCTACCAGCAAAACATACGTTATGTAAGTATCCATAAAGCATTGTATTCCTTGTGGGGGGTTTCAGTGTGTTAACTTTTTCTTATTATGTTAGTTTACAGAGGCGTTCAGTTAAAGCTGCTGTTAATTTTTGTTGTTATGGAGGTAGATTGTAATATATCTGTCCCAAAAGAGACTTGCGTTTTTAGGCCTGCTGGGACATGGGGTTCAAAATCCAACGATAGTAACTTTTAAGATGATTCTGTGGAGTTTGTTCATGGGATTGATTTTTCTGAGATCCAAGTTGCAGATCCTGTAATAAAGACAGATACACATTGTAGTGTAAACTTATTATTTGTTCCCATCTCAGAAGAATCTGGTTCTCAGTGTTTGACTGTTTCTTGCATTTGGGGGAGGAAGGGTCGGGATATGGCATGTATTTTTACACCCCAGATCGGGGGGTTTGCATATTAGGTACAGAGGAAAGGCCAAGGGTTGCCGGCTGGCAAACTATGCAAACAAGAAGTTTCATTCATAAGTGATTCCTCTTAGTTTCCTAAAGACAATATCTGTTTCAGGCAAGAGAAAAAACAATGTCCTAAAGTGTGTTGCCTTTTGTGCAAGTAAAATGAAGGAACAGTTAATCCTTCCCAAACTTGAAACTCAGTAAGCAGTTTAGCACATTACCAAATGTTACTAGCTGTCTTTCTGTTTTTACTCTATGCTGGTATCTGTTCTCCAGGTTTTAATTCTGCATTCCTAAGATTTATGGAGAACAGAGAATTGGATGTGTTGATTAAAATTACAGATATTTGAATGCAGTCCTGACTAGGAGATTATTGCTGTCATTTATGTATTCATACAGTCCAATTCTGTGTCAGCTACATTAGCATTGTTTGAATGGTCATGTTTTCCAGCCCTCTTAAAGAGGTGCCTCTCCCTCACGATTAGTAGATATTATTAGCTTGTGGTTTTGCCATGTCTTTCTCATGTTGGTTCTCAATGAATAGACTGATGAGTTGCACTGTCTCGAACAAACAGTACAGCAGCATCCTGGTACCCATGAAGCATTTGCAAGCAAAAAAAACCTGAATTTGTGGCTCTACATGTAAACTTTGGGCATATTAGTGCAGTAGTTGTCGCAGTGCTTTCAGGCACTACCTACTAATTCTGGATGCCACAGCATTGTGCTTATAGACATGGCCTTGTTTTGGGGATTAATTTAAATATGTATGCTTGATGCTGTCTTGTCAATGCATCCTCCGTTTCTGGTTGGGTGGCAGCCTCTCCTCCTACTGTAATGCTGCCCTAAAATGACGTGGTAGATGTTGCTAGCATCAAAGATCTAATAAAGACCTGTATGTGGGGATAAGGAAGGAATGACACTGCTGTTCTACCATTGAAAATTAACCGGGCAGATTAGCTTTCTATTCCTTCAGCTGGCAACGTTGCAGAAACAACTGGTAGAGTGGTTAATGTTTGGGAATGGTGAATGTACGCTGTAATGGTGGAGAGGCCTTCAAATATGTGTCACTCGCCTTGTAGTATGTTCGTCAAGGTGAATGGATGAAGAAAGCATTGCGTGGTAATTGAAGTATTTCCTTGTACTTCCTCATCTTCAGGAGGTACGTGGCTGTAGTTGGGAGCCTGGTGGTGTTCTGGCAGTGGCAGGAAGCACGAGCTTTTCTGTTTGTACATAAATTCCACAGCAGCCTTTGAATTGCCTCTGCTCATGGGACACTTTGGATGATGTAGGAATTGTTTGTTAACTATATCGGTGATTGCATGTCTAATTCATGATGAGTAGCATGCAGATACAGATCAACGAGTATGTGGAATCTCAGCAAGCTTTCAAATGTAATAAATATTTCCTAAAATATTGTAGCATTTTCAAGATTATCTTAAAGCGAATTCTGGCAATTAAGACCTTTTTTTTTGTCACAGGACTCCTAAATCGCACAAAATCCTAGAAACTGCTTTCAGGTGACATTTCTACTACTATTTTTAGTCAATATAGCATATGTAACACATTTAGTATTTTGGCACTTTCATGGCTAAATATAGTAGATATCTGAACACAGTGCTTGGGCTTCCACAAAGAAACACTGTTCTAAAGACTATGCTGATGACATTTTTCTGTTATTCCTTTGTCAAATGACTGGGTTTTTTTATTTTTTTATTTTTTCCACTTAAGTGAACTTGCACTTCAAAGTGTCTAGACTATCACTGTTCTTTCTTAGAAATTAGAGTACTGTATCTGGTACCTATTTGTAATACTAGGGATATACAGATTGGCTAAAGCTACCTTCACATTTTGATGGTTGATTATTTAAGAACACAAAACTGTAGTACAGACTTCATATTTTTGATACTTATGTAGCAGAGTCAAAATACCTGAGGACTCCCTCTGGCACTGTTGTGTTCTATATCTGTAAGTCTTAGAGTAATTTATTACAAAGTAGAAATGTGATTTTTGGGGTTTTTTTTTAGTTGCACTGAATGTACCAAGAGACAACAGTTTATGTATGTGAATAAATTTCCACATTCACTACGCTATCAGAACATAATGTTTTGATGTCCAGGTTTTATAAGCTGTTTTCACTGCTTTATGTTGGGTACAAGTGCTTTATTTTAAATTCTGATCATCTTTATTTCTTCTTCTAGAAGTCGAACTGAGCCAGTGAGTGGGACATCAAAAGCAGTATGTAAAAACACAATCTCACACTTTTTTCTACACACTGCACTTAATTCTAAACAATGTAGCCTTTTATTAATTTTCCAAACATAACTTAATATATTTTCCAGTAAAACATAGCATATGTTGTGAATACAATGTATTTGATTCAGCATAGTAAAAACTGAGTAATGCCATCATTTGCACAATTCTAATGTGAATATTGGTATTTGTGCCTAGTACTGCATTGTATTTCATATTGAATATGCTAGAATATTTCCTGTATGACTTTGTGTTGTACAGATAATGTATGATCGGTTTTTAGATCATGTAGGTTCAAGGTTTGCGCAATTGAACATGGTGCCATGTTCTACATCTGTCTGTCTATAGCTAGTAATATGTATGTTTGTATAGGTTGTTGTGTGCTTTTTGTTTCTTGCAATAAAAATTGTTTGGAGTGTATTTTTTGCCATTTTCACATTGTATCACATAGCTTTTGTTTTTAAGTACTTTTTTTGCCTAATGGTTTTTGAAAATGTTATCAAAAACCACTGAGAAACCATTATTGTTAAACTTGGTACTGTTTCATACTTTTGACTTGAGGGTTCAAACAAATACCAAAACCAACATATCTCATACATTTTGAGGACAGTTCTGTGCAGCTAAATGGTTCCTTTTTGTGTCCTTAAATACTTGGGTTATTTGTTCCTAAAACTGTATAATTGAAGTGATACTGTTTGGACCCCTCTCAGTACATAAATGTCTTTAATAGATTGCCGTGAATTTAAATATCGTTGCTACACAAAGTGGTATTCTAAAGTTCTGCATTTGATCTTTCCACTTGATCTGATGAAGCAGTTTAGTTTGATAGTTTGTCTGCAAATGAAAATATCTAATACAAATTTTGGCACAAGGTTAGAGCCTGGTGCATTTGTGGATAAAATCCCTGTCATTTTTCTTAACTTTTGCCTGCAGTACATTTCATTTTTGGATCTGGGTGACTCCAGGGTTGGTTGCTGCTTTAACTCCCCAAAGGTTAAGCCTTTCTTTAGTATACCACCACTTTGAATTTACATTTGGAAAAGGGGCAGCATTTTTCTTCAGGTTTGGAAACGCTTGTCGTTCTGCTGCTAAAATACCAATAACACACGGAAATACTTGGCTAGTAATGGTCTAGATCTTGATTTGCCACTTGGGTTGAATACTGTGTGTAACTACGCATTTCAAAATAGTCCTTATACTATAAAAATTACTATGTGGTGTTTTTTATTTTTCATCTTTATTTTAAGTAGAACTGCTTTTTCTTCACTAGAATGGTGTGAGGCATTACACTAACCCTGGATCATTGGATCTGATCACTTGATAAGCTGTTAGGATAACTTGATCTAGAAATTCATGAATTCTGGGTCTGTGTTCTGTGAAGAATACAGCCTCTGATTCTTGTGGAATGGTATACAATGAACTTAAAATTGAGAACTTTTTGTCTGTAGGTCTAAAAACGTAAAGTCTAAATCTGCATCCGTAATTCTATTGCTGATTGATTCGAATTCCTTTTTGGACATGAATGCCTCTCATTGTGAGTTTGAGTTAGTTTAACTGGCCCAGTGACCCTAGTAGTTAATGTAATGCATTTATGTAAACCACGTTTATAGTATTTGATCTAATTCAGATGGGTTTTTATTTCTTGAAAACAGTTATTTTTTCTTTTTGTTTACTAGCATGTGTATAAACACAAATCACATGTTCATAAATAAAGTTAACATTCTTTTAGCCTTGTGTGTTCCCTGGCATGTCTGTATTATGTTTCTAAGTAGCATCTTACCATAAGCTAACATAGATGTCTCAAAGAAAAAAAAAAAGGGGGGGGAGGAAAATCCTGGAGGGGAGGGAAGACTTAGTGTTAGTTAGAATTAAAGTAAATGAAAGACAAAGCAAAAACATTCCCTTCTTGTTTGCTCGGACTGTATCTGATTTGGGTTGTGGGTAGCCATAGGAGGGTGGAAGCCTTGCATCTTTCTTGACAAGTCCTCTCACGCTCTCTCACTGTAAAGCACTGCAGCCTCAGGTGCTTCTAGTGTTGGAGACGCAATGAGCTTTATTCTTAAAACTAACTCAGGTCTTGGTCTAAAGTGTGGGGGTTTTGTTTTCTAAATACATGTATTTCAAAGCAGAACCTGGATCTTGGTGTAGTAAGGATAAATCACTGGAAATCTTGCCAATTATTGTGGAACAGTAAAGCAGCACAATTAAAATAAGTTAAGATTTTTTTTAAGCATGCGCAAAAGCTTATTCTTTGAATATTTTTTCATTGTCTTGGTTTTGTTAGCTGTCAGTCTACACTTGCAAATTTGTGCTGCTGTCCTAATGTTCCTTCAGCCAAACCAAGAAAGTGGATCCTTTTTGGTTTAGTGTTACTATTTCAGTAACTGCAAGGATCTCTAGTTGGTATTTGTCCTTAGAGGTTGCAGAAATGTAGAGAGTCATGCCCATTGTTCTAGCACCGGCAAGCACAACGGTGATCCTTCCTGGCTGAATTTGTAGTTTAGCAAGGCTATTGGGTTTTAGGAGACCACTGTAATTTAAACGTAGTACTTCAGCAGTGAGATTAGCCTTTTCCTTCTATTTTCTATCCCCTTTCCTGTTTTGTGTTAATTTCTGTTTGGTCTTCTGCATGATATGAGAGTTAATACATTGACTGTCACTTCTGGTTTTTGGGGGTTTTGGTGTTGTGTTCCTCCCCCCCCCGCCCCCCAATTCTTCTGCAGTATTATCTTAGGGTTGTATACAAGTTTCATGGAGATGTTGTTTCTACTTGACTGATTTGAGGGACTGGCAGGAAATACTTCAGTAGAAATTTAAAGGAAAACAAAAAAGACAGAAGAATGTGAGATCATTGACAGATGGCCATTGGGCAGATGTTCTAAATAGTATGTTAATTATCTATTTGCTGCTTTTGATAACTATTTAGTAGAAAGGAGTGCTATCTCCTCCTTTAACAAATGAGACTGTTGCCTGCAGGCCATATAGTAACTGCTTTCTAAAAAAAAAAGAGCTAATTAATGGTTTATTAACTGTTACATTTCAGTTACTGGAAATACTAGACTGTTTAATGCTAGGCTCCAGTAGAGAGCTTTCCTAATTTCTTCTTTGCTTCTGAAAAATCACAAAATGATCGTGGTTGTGCCTGCCACGAGAAAACATAGGCCTGTTTTTCCACATGTAAAAAAGAGTGGCATATGGAGCATGAAGCTTCAAAATACAAAAGAACTAGGTACAAAATGTTCTGAAAAGAAGGAAAGTTAAATGTTCTGGCAATGCAGAGAAGGTCTCTTCCAGATCTGGATGTTCCTCACCAAAGGCACATTTTCAAGAACTTTTTCATTAGTACTACAGTAATGTTGTATGTGCTTTCCTAAACATATAGAGAAGGAATGATTAACTGGAGTGGGGAATCATCTTCTGCATGGAGATATTTTTTTCCCCAGAGTCTACTAAAACTACTCCCTCAAACTCTTCCACTACATTAGGTAATAAAGGACAAGCGCTTTTTGCAGGGAAGGGTTTTAATCTCTCCTCTGATCAATGTAGTGACCTCTTGAGGAGAGCTGGTCAGTTTACGTTGTGAAATTTTATTCTACATTTTTGAGCAACTTAAGACATAATAAGCAGTGATTTGAGTGTCTTTCTGATAATGTTTTGCTAGTGTAAGATTAGCTGCTGCTTGTGGCAATATAATTCAGTGCACTGGAAGAGAAATTAGGTAAGAGTTACCCTTTTTACTTGTGGAAAAACTGTACTTCAGTATTAGTGCTCAAAAAACCCTACAGTCCGTTGCTGAGTAGTGGCCTGGGGACTTCATTGCTGCATTCCTGAATTCATTTTCATCATCAAGAGTATGCTTTACACTTTCTTTCTTTTGTTCATTTAGTACTGGGCTGCTATTAAAACTTGGGTTTCATCTGATAGCAAGGAAAATACTAAATTCCAACACTTCCCAAACTAATTTAGATAGTATGGCCTGTGGTCTAACAAAATACAAGAAATCAGTTTTCTCAATTTTCTGTCATGATAAACACCTTTATTTAAATAATTTAAGCAGTTGGGTTTTTTTCTAGACAAAGTGGTGGGTTACTTTTATGGCTGGTGTTTTAGATTGGTGTTTTTATTTCAGTTTTGTGGGGTATGGTGACTTTGACATTTTTAAACTGCAGGGGCAGAGTTCATGTTTTGTGGCTGATATGCCTGTGCTTTATTGTGGCAGGCAGCTACTGTGTTCATTAAAGCGTAACCGTGTGCATTTGTAAATGATGAGACATTAACTGATTAATTTACAACTACACTGAAAATAAATTTCTTGTAGTGATGCTGCGTTCTCAAACTTAATTTTTTTTTTTTAATCCTTTTTAGCTGAAAACTGTCAGCTTAAGCAGTAGTAAGCATTTGACAAGGGTCCCTCTCTGAGATATTCTGGAGCAATAAGTTGATCTCAGGTGGTTTGCTTATTTTAGTTTTTTACTAATCACGTAAGCACTCTCTCTAAGCTGTCATAGGTTGGGACTTTGAATAAATACAAATTACACTGGGTTGGAAATGCCTCTTTCAGTGGCACTCAGAGAATATAGTGCAGGCTTTCAGACTACAGTAGAGGTTAACTGTTGCTATGTTTTGACTGTAGAACTTGAATATGTGTTTAATTTTTTGTGAACAGATTGATGACTCTTCTGCGTCTATTTCTCTGGCCCAGCTTACTAAGGTATATATATATTCTTGTCAAATACTTTAAAAAAAGTGTTTACTTCCTATTTTTAAATTTATACTGTGATCTATAGCTGGATAACTGTTGTAATTTGAGCAAAACTTTAATTTTTAATAATTTAAAGTATTTATTTTAACTTTAAAATGTGTATATATTTTGATACTATCCTGTAAAGAGTAGTTCCCAGTTTGGGAAGATAGAAGGGGAGTACCTTATCAGCCTCAGCATAATGTTGCAGTGTTACTCATCTTCAAGACACAAAGAAGAAGCACTTCAGAAGCTGTTTACCGTTTTTCATACGTTTCGTTAATTTTGCGTTGGAAACTAACACAGTTTTTGCAGAAGAATTTAATTGGCTGTAAGTTACGGACATTCCAGGGGGGTTTGCAACAGCCAAAATAGAAGCGTTTCTGTAACATGGACAATTGCATGGCTATTTTTGAGTTTCTAGTCACTATAGTTCTAGAACCCTTCTTTGAATGCTGCACAATTTCGTAAACTGTAGTATATATACAGTGGACAACACAATCTAATTTGTTTGAACGCAGACTGTGTAAATTGTGTAAATGTACCTAATTGTTTATAGGAATATACCAATGTGTATGTGTGGCATACTGGCAGATGTGACCTTCTGAAATTGTTGTAATGCCATGTTTTGCTATGGAACTGCTTGCATTTTTTGCTCAACAATGTGTAACTTTGGGAAAGCACTAGTGATTGCTCTTTGTGAAAAGGCATAGTGCTAGCCAGTTAAATCCCTAGTCTTAAAGTTACAAAGATCAGAGAAGGCAGGACCTAATGCAGAGTAGCTAGTTTGTTCTTCTGAAAATAAAGGCCGGAGTTCATTTCCAAGAAAGAGAAATCTCTTCCCACTGGTAACTTCTTCCCTCTCTCACTGCAGAATTTAAATTGTGTACATTCGGCGCAAAAAAAAAGTTTGGAAGGTACTCACCAAAAGAAATTGGTCTCCATTAGTGCTGTCCCTAAACGTGTCCTTGGTTCTGTAAACTTGTGAAGTTTTATTCTAAAATGTAAAAAACTGTCCAAGTGGTGTACACATTTAAACTTTTGATAAAATTTAAATATTTCAGAAAAATACAGGAACACAACATAAAGCAGGTCAAAACTGTTACTTACTCTAACCTCTTTAGTGCAGACTGGCTTAGCGTGGAGGCAATGTGTCAACATTTTTCTGTTTTATTATTACTATGTATTAAATGCCATATTTGAATTTTGGTCTATTCCTACTAATGTTTTGTGGGTTTTGGATGTGTTTTGTAAACCGTTTGGGTTCAAACAAATTAGTCAAGTATGTGTAAAGTTTTCTGTAAATGTTAATGGAAATGATTTCATAGCTGTTGATCTGGATTATGTTACTGTTGAGAAAAAACTGTGTATATGAAACAACCATTTAATAAAATGTTGAAACTAGTTGGTTGCTTTTGTGAATGAATGCATATAAAAACAAAAACATGAGTGGTTGATCTGAATGATAGGTGCTTGAAGGTCCAAATAATTTACAGTCACTCCCTTAGACCCTGCTTGTATCTGGACTAGTGTGTAAAAAAAAAATATTTTAACAAATACTACTTAAAAATCGGCTAGCTTCAATAATTTGAAGATCTAGTTTTGCATAAGATTTATTTGTATGTTAAAAGGACACAAGTCAACTGGAAAAAAACTGCTGGTTTTGCTTACTGTAGTTAAATCGCTTAATATGAAGAAGTTAGTAGGGGGGGAATGTGCAGTTTGGACAGCGTACAGCACGTGATGGTTAAATTTCTACTGAAAATAATCATTTGTCTTGCTGAGGGATTATAAAAAGCTTGATTTCTTTTAATGCTTCGGTGTCAGAAGCTGGATTTCAGCAAGCAGAACCAACTGCCATGACTCTTAAGTTGTGTGTCCTTTTAATGCTGCAAAATGTAAATAATGATACTTGCATGCATATTTCTCAATTAAATGTACAGTGGATATCTTCTCCTTCAAATAGTCTGGAGCTTAAAAATCAGTTTAAAAATACTGGATAGTGTACTTTTTTTTTCTACACATAGCTTCAGTCCGCTTTGAAGAAAATTGGATTGGTTACACGAGTCTTTATGTAAGGTACAAACAGAGCCTAAGGTTTTGAGTGCCCAAGAATGCTCTTTTCAAGTAGGTTAACAGGCACATAAACATCATGTAATGGCATAAGGACTCCCCAGAACATCTTCAGGACAAATATATTTTATATAAGCAGCTGTTTTCATGCAACCTCAGCTAGCGTTTTGCTGCGCTTTACAGGATTGGATGAGTGGTGGTGTCTTTGGCTGTGTGGGCTTAAATGTGTTTCTAATGTGTGTGTCAAATAATTACCTGTTAAACAGACTGCCAATCTGGCTGAAGCCAATGCTTCCGAAGAAGATAAAATAAAAGCTATGATGACACAGTCTGGCCATGAATATGATCCTATCAAGTAAGTGTTGATAATATCAAATGTGTGCTTTGAAGATTATGAAAAAAAAAATGTAGAGATGTCTGTTTTAACAAGAGACACACATGCATACCTTTTTCTTTTTTTTTCCCCCCAAAAAACCGTTTAGTTACATGAAAAAACCGTTGGGTCCACCTCCGCCATCGTACACTTGCTTTCGTTGCGGAAAACCTGGCCACTATATAAAGAACTGCCCAACAAATGGGGTAAGATTCTGGAGGACTTGCGGTGTTGCTTAGTTTTTATATTTTTTTTACTTTGGCAGTTACTTGACAGATACGTGAATATTCATTCATATTAAGCATTGTTTCTCTTGGGGTGAAATACAGAGATTATATGGCAATGTTGCAAAGCCCTTCAAGGGAAACCTAGAGTTATAAATGAGGAATTTCTTTTTTTTTTTTTTCTGAGTCATGGGCATTAAATATGTCTGTAGATCTTTCTCTGTGAACTTTCAGGTATATTTTGATATATTTCAAAGTTACTGGAAATTTTTCTCTGTCTTTAAGTCTTTTTTTATGACAGTTCACAATTTTTAGTATTTTCTAGAAAAAGATGTTTTTGTTGACCCCATGTATTGAATTTTTGCATGTTTTAATTACACGAGTCCGTGTTTGAGTATCAATGCTATTTAACATTAGTCGCTGAATGTATATGCATGAGGTATTAATTCAGTCTTCATATATAGATGGTGAATAGAAGTTTCTCCAGTGACTGATTCAGAGCCCTGAGTTAAGCTCTCCCTCTGAATTGTGCTTTGGAGGAGAAGTAGGTTTGTGTCTCTTCTCTGCACGGATGCTGAGCTAAGGGATATCTCACCCTTAAGGAACCTGAAGTTAAGCCAAAGAATGTCGACTGAGTTCAAAACACTTCTCAAGTTGTTGGAATATCCTGGCTATATTAATTTAGGGAAATAAGTGTTTTAGTCAAGCAAACCTTACACTAGGTAAAAGGAGAGGATTAAAGACTGTTGCTGCTTAAAATAATCATTGAAATCTCATTTTAAGTGTGGGTCTTAAGATGAGATATGTCTGCATTTCTTTTCTTAACAGGACAAAAATTTTGAGTCTGTTCCCAGAATTAAAAAGAGCACAGGAATTCCAAGGAGCTTCATGATGGAGGTGAAAGATCCCAATACAAAGGGTGCTATGCTGACAAACACTGGGAAATACGCAATACCGACTATTGATGCGTAAGTATGGAATTAATTGGACTGACCAAAAGGTGAATGAGAGAAAACATGCGTAAATGGCTGCATGGCAATACAACCAAGTTGGCCAGCCTCTAATTACAGGAGAGGAATCATTGTCATTGTATCTCAACCTTAAAGTCTGTGATGCTTTCTAGTACTAAAATAAGGTGGTCCTATTGTTTATACACCTGGAAGTTGGTTAAACTTGTGGTATGCCAAGAATCTGTGTTTCTGCAACACATTTCAATAGTGTTTGTAGTTGGAACCTCTCTCTTTGAAAGCTTGTTTTGCTTCGATTTTAAGTTTCAAAGGCTTCTTGAAAAAGTTAACAAGTAGCTGTTGGACTGAGATTTCTTCCTCCTCTGACTTTTATCAAATCTCACGTGTGAAACAAACTGAAGTTTTCCTGTTGCTGTAAACTAAGAAAATACTGCTGTGTGCTGAGAACAGTGGCTGCTTTAAAATGCACTCAGTAGCACTTCTGTTTTTCTGTCATGGATCTCCTTTTCTAGAAGCTGTAGCATAGACTTCTTTCATTTATAAAATGTAATTACTTGGAGACTAGCTTTATCCTGACCCTGCAGTTTACATTT